ACACACACACACACACACACACACACACACACACACACACACACACATGCCATTTCCACACTCAGTGTCTGAGTCAGTGGAATGTAAATGATGTTTCTGTAAATTTGGAGGACGAAGACACAAACAGACACTTGTGTTCACAAACACACAGAGAGCTGAGAAAAAAACCACTAAGAATGTACTGGATATAATACTACAAGTAGTACTATTACTATGGTACTATTCTATAGAACCATACCAGTGGTAGTGGTAGTGTCATCTATAGTAATTCTACACAAAATACATACAAGAAATATAAGACAAACTAAGAATATGACTAACAGTCTGTAAAATACTGCAACATTTCATATACTTTGGTGTACTGTAGACTACATACTATACTACAAAAAGTGCTGAGAAAACAATGGGATTATTTCATCAAAATAATAATTATAGTATAATTTGTGTTTCAGATTCTTTCTGAAACACAAAATATACAAACAGCATCTACTTCCTGTCTGTTGGTCTTCCTTTTTTGTTTTCTTTGAGTGAGGCATACTTGACTTAAATAACAACACTAATCTTTAACACTGTTGGACTGACACATCCACCTCCTGTTTCCTGGTTCTTCCTCACCACCCCAACACGTCCAACCATTGGTCGCTGGTCGTGACGTTATAAATCAAAGCGACTCACGGTTGGCCGACGGCCGTGTTCTCCGGTACGTTCAGGCTGTAGGTGGCGTTGGTGAACTGCGGCGGCCGGTAGCCGGCCAGGACGGCCACCGTGGCCGGCGAGCCTTTGCGGCCGCTCCCGTCCGTCGCCTGCACCCGCAGCAGGTACTCCCTGCTGGGGGTCAGAGGTCGTCCCGTGGTCCTGATGTCGCCGGAGCGACGGTCCACCTCGAAGCACTCCTCCCCACCTGGACGGACGGACAGAAGGAGGAGACAGGAGTAAAAACATAGTGTTTAAAACACAGACTGTAAATGAGAAGTGGACGCAGTCATGGTGACGTCACCCATTGGTGCCTCGCCATCTTGGATTATGTCCGTCACCATGTTGTTGTTTTTTGCAACCAGTGAACTGAGGACTGAGGAGGAGTGACGTAGAGACGCCGTATACGTCTCTGGTAGAGACCTGTCAATCACCGTGTAGCCCCGCCCTAAAGCATCCCCTGCTTTATGGTCTGTTTGACTCTAAATGGACCATAATGTACTAAATGAACATCATGCTGTATTGAAGAAGACTTGAAACTAGAGATTGAGACCATAAACTCACAGCTGTCCGGTTATGAACACCCAAATAAGGAGGATAGAAGATGGAGGGCTGCTGTTTGTGTGTGTTTATTTCTGTGTGTGTTGAAAGTGAAGCTGCTGAGGACCATTCTGCCAGCTGGAGCAACATGTGTGTGTGCGCGTGAGTGTGTGTGTGTGTGTGTGTGTGTGAGAGCTGATTTACAGTCTTTGAAGACTTAGAAGAAGAGAGCAAGTTATTTTTTTTTACCCACGCCAGCCCTGAGTGATGAGGAGGATACAGAAAGAGAATATGATTAAAGGAAGAGGACCTATGAGGGAGCAAGGGAAGGAGGTAAGGATGTGAAAGAGGAGTAAAGGAGGAGCAGGATCCCCAGCTGTTGACCAGAGGGGTTTAAACCAGCAGCAGCTGCATCCAACCTGTCAATCATCTATTTATGGAGGTTCTTCTGAGGCCAGTTCATCTCACTGAAGACTTCCTGTTTGTCTCCACTGAAAATTCACCACTTCATCACTCACATTAAGAAGACTCTACAGGTG